GAGGTCGTTTGCGATGGTGTCTAGGGGCGTACTCCTTGAGTCGAGTAGTGCTTGTAACCTAGTGAAAACAAACTGTGTTACAAATCTCAGTATTATTGGGGCAAGAATTGCAATGAATGGTCCGATAGAAGAAAAAGGTTTTAGTTACCAATAATTCCAAGTCAAAAAATGGGAGAAAAATAACACATGAGTTTGGAGACTTGTAGTCAAATATTTGGGAACACTAGAAAAATCCAGGATCCAGTTTAGTTCACAGGTGAAAAATAACGCTTTTAACTGAACCAAAGTCTAATACCCACAACTATGTATTATGGAGGCTATTGAAATATGATTTTCCCTCTAAAATCATCCTTATTTTTATCAAGGAGCCAAATTAAGACCAACTTATTTACCGTATTAAGTCTGGTTTCCAGCTGGCCTGATTCTTTGTATGAACACAAGAATAGCAATAGATCATATATCCTCTTTCAAATCTGCTTTGCTGGCAACTCATAAGGAACGGGAAAGACGAGAGATGCACTGGTGAGCTCAGTTGTTCAAGACTAGTGTGTTGAACCCCAGCAACAAGGGGTCAGTGAGGAAAAAGATTCCATCGGTAACTTTAGGGATGGATGGGCTCTAGCACGAGACAGGTGGGTGGGGGTGGGGGTGGGGCAGGTTACATGGTAAAGCTAGCTGAGTCCTCAAACCTGGGCACAATGGGGGGAGGGATGCTCTCTTTCAAGCCCACTATGGAGGTGGGGGGAGGAATGGGGGTGCTTGTTTCTCCTATTTGCCTCCTCTATTCTATTCCATTCCTCAGGACTCACCCCTAGAATGGATCCTGAATAACTGGTCAAAATTTGATCCCCAAGCCCTAAAGAAAAAGAGGTTAGCCTTCTTTTGCAATACAGCATGGCCCCAATACAAACTGGGAACCAGGAGGCCTGGCCAAAGAATGGAAGCCTTCATTATAACACCATTCTCCAGCTAGATTTTTTCTGCCATCACCAGAGCCAATGGACTGAAGTCCCATATGTCTAAGCCTCTATGGCAGCGGTTCTCAACCTGTGGGTCGCGATCTCTTTGGGGGTTGAACGACCCTTTCACAGGGGTCGCCTAAGACCATCGGGAAACACATATATAATTACATATTGTTTTTGTGATTAATCACTATGCTTTAATTATGTTCAATTTGTAACAATGAAAATACATCCTGCATATCAGATATTTACATGATGATTCATAACAGTAGCAAAATTACAGTTATGAAGTAGCAACGAAAATAATTTTATGGTTGGGGGTCACCACAACATGAGGAACTGTATGAAAGGGTCGCGGCATTAGGAAGGTTGAGAACCACTGCTCTATGGCCTTAAGGAACAAGGATGTTCCTCGCGGCATTAGGAAGGTTGAGAACCACTGCTCTATGGCCTTAAGGAACATACCAACCAATGTGATGGTATCTGGGCGTGGAACTTGTAGGAGATTATTAGGTCATGAGGGTAAAGTCCTAGTGATGGGATTAGTGCCCTTATAAGATAACATCCCTTAAACTCTAAGGGACCCCAGGAGACTTGCAACCAGTGGGGCAATGGGCAGCTAGACCTGCTTTGCCGGTCCCAGGGAAATGGACAAAGGTCCCGTATACCCAAGTCTATGGCTCTCAGGGATGACCCTAAGTTATATACTACCTGTAAACTAGATCTCTCTGTAACTGCTACAGGGCCTGAAGAAAACTACCCAGATGAAAAGGAAACATTCTAAAAATGGGGGAATCCTTTTTAAAAATTATTTTTATTGATATTAGAGAGCAGGAGGAGGAGGAAGAGGAGGAGGAGGAGGAAGAGGAGGAGGAGGAGGAGGAGGAGGAGGAGGAGGAGGAGGAGGAGGAGGAGGAGGAAGTGGAGGAACAGGAGGAGGAGGAGGAGGAGGAGGAGGAGGAGGAGGAGGAGAAGCAGAAGCAGGAGGAGGAGGAGGAGGAGGAGGAGGAGGAGGAGGAGGAGAAGGAGAAGGAGAAGGAGAAGGAAAAGGAGAAGGAGAAGGAGAAGAAGGAGAAAAAGAAGGAGGAGGAGGAGGAGCAGGAGGAGGAGGAGGAGGAGACAAGAGAGAGAGAAACATCAATGTGTGAGAGAAAAACATCAATTGGTTGCCTCCAACATGTGCCCCAACTGGGGATTAAACCTGGCACCTCACTGGCCAGGCCAAAAATGGGTGGATTATTTTATCAGTCTTTTGACAACATTGGTTGGCAACCCAATTCTTGAGATATTAAAAATTACTGTCCTGCCCAGCCAGTGTGGCTCATTGGTTGAGCATCAACCTGTAAATCAGGAGGTCACAATTCAATTTCCAGTTAGAGCACAAGCCCGGGGTACGGGCTCAATCCCCAGTGAGAGTGTGCATGAGGCAGCCAATTGGTGATTCTCTCTCATCATTGATGTTTCTCTCTCTCTCTCCCTCTCCCTTCCTCTCTGAAATCAATAAAAATATATTTTTTATAAAAGAAAAAAATCACTCTCCTTGTTTTACAAAAGAAATCTTTACAGGGCCAGCGGTGTGGTTCCAGAAACAATTCAAAGCCCACCAGATCTTACTTGGGCCATCTTTTAAAATGCAAGTTTCTGGGAGGTAATCCTGATTGAAAGGGAAAAAAACACCTTAGCCATTTGAGTGGCTCTAATTAATGCATTTCAGATGTTAAACATTAATTGCTAGACAAGTCTTAATTTCACCTACTTTTGGTGTTTTATTACAAAAAAAAAGGCTAGAAAATAGATTTGAAGTTTTTAATAAATATCTTTCATTTGATTAGAAATATGTCTCTTAAAAGTTTGAGTGTGGCCCTAGCTGGTTTGGCTTAGTGGATAGAGTGTCGGCCTGCATACCAAAAGGTCCCAGGTTCTATTCTGGTCAGGGGCACATGTCTGGGTTATGGGCTTGGCCCCCAGTTGGGGGTGTGCAGAGGCAGCTAATCAATGGTTCTCTCTCATCATTCTCTCTCTCCTTCTCCCTTTCTCTCTGAAATCAATAAAAATATACTTTTTAAAAAGTGTGTTTGCCAATGGAGGAGTCCAATATGAAATATATTTGCTAATCTAAAGAATGCCAATTGCTTGCTTTTTAGTAATTACTAAAAATTAAGTTTCCTAAAAGTTAAAAATTCAAATTAAATTAGAAAGAAATTGTATGGTTTGATGATAGAAGGTATAAAGTATGGAGATATTTCTTGAAGGAAAAGGAAGAAAGTTAGTTGTTCTAAAGTTGGTTATTTCTGAATGGGTAAGAAGGTTTGTGAAAGTTGTAGAAGGTTTGTGAAGAGAAATCTTGAACACAAATTATATAGGTAAGCTGAATGATGAACTTAATTATATAAATGAATTTAAAGATCAAAAAAAAACTAATACAGAATTAAAGTTTTATTCTTTTCTACTTTGTTAAAAGTACAAGGATGTTCCTCTTGCTTTCTAGATATAAGAAAACTTAATTTTTAAAGCAATTTGGTAAATTATATATTTTCTCCCTACCTAATCCCTCCAGAATTTAACAATTCTTATTGAGTGAGCCATGGTAATACATGTCTTTGCATGAATTCAATAAGACCAGTGTCCAATTGTAGTTTTATTAACCAAAACTTTGACTGGAATGTCATGTCTGAGAGAGATTGTTAGTCATGCAGTTTAGACTCCCTGACTTTCCTCCCTAAAGATAACATCTAAGCCTCAGTTGTATTCAGCTCCAGGCCCAGAAAAGCAGGAAAACCAGACAAGTGACGCTGTGGCTGCCTCAGGACCAGCTGCCATGACTAATGACCCCTGCACCACCAGTGGAGAGCAGACCCCTGGAAGAGCACACCTGGAAAACTGATGACTATTCTGCTAACCCTCCCCTAGGGCCCTCCTGCCCTAAATGTCCCGCAAGAGAAAGAGAAATGCCCTCAACACAAAGGACCCAGTGTGCACTCTCCTTCTGGGCAACAGGTCCGGGCCTTCGCCTCCTCTTCTCCATCCCTCACAGGCATGCATCCCTAAGGCATGCTAAGCTCGTCCTGAGTGTGCTTTTGCTGCAGTCAATAAATTCTTGCTTGCTTTGCCGTATTTGCCTCTCGGCTAAAATCTTTCCTTCAAGAAGACAAGAACCCAGGTCTCATCGTTGTCTAGCCGGTAACAGGAGCAGTGGGGATGGAAACAGGTAGCTGAATCTGAGACCTGGTTGGAGGTTGCATTGTCAGGGCTCGCTGAAAGGCAGGATGTGGGGGACGAGATAAAGGGAGGGCCCAGAATGACTCCCAGGCCCTGAGCTTATTTAACTGCATGGACAGTGGTTCCACCACATGACTTTGAGTTCCAATTAAAACTTAAAATGCACACATAAATACACGCATGCAGACACCATGTGTGCACACACACGTGTAAACACATGCAAACACCCATATGTGTGGACATGCACACGTATGTGTGCTTCCATGAGCACTCATACATGTACATATACGTACAGATACGCATGCACATATACATGCACACACTCGCATACAATATGCATGTACACTCAAGCATATACACGTCCATCTACATGTGCACACACAAAAACCACTCTTGTATTTTCCATGACTCTTATCACAGCCTAAAATACTATATGTTATTTTCTTATTTATTGGGCTCATTGTCTTTCTCACAGGACTATAATAGGAGCTCTGTAGGACCAGGGGCTTTTGTCTGTCTTGTTCATGGCGGTGCCCCCACACCTGGAAAAGTGACACATAGGAGATGCTCAATTAATATTTGGCAACCAAGTGAATGAAGCAGCCAGAAGGGAAAGCTGGAACCTCTGTTCTCTGATCCCCACCTGAGTCACATCTTCAGCTGCCTCTGGAAAGTATGAGCGACTGTATGAGTGAGAGTGAGATGGGGCCAGCGGGGGTGGGGCAACAGGAAGGAGAGGAGGGCAAGGGGGAAAGAGGAGGGGCTGAACCACAGCTCTAAAAGCAGCCCCAGGACCCACGAGTGCCTGTGTGCAGCGTGCGAAGCCCAGGAGCGTTGGGCAATTGCGGTTTTCCTCCCAGCCCGCAGGACCCAGCCGTGCGAGCCTAGCCTAGGCATCTGGGCCTCATCCACACAGGCATGGAGGAGACAGTGGTGCAGCCCTCGGTGTTCGTGGTGGACGGACAGACGGACATCCCATTCAGGAGGCTGGAGCGCAAGCCCCGGAGACAGGCCTGCAGTGCTGCCAGGCTGAGTCTGGTCCTCCTGCTGCTGCTGCTCATGGCCGGGCTGGCCCTGCAGGGCTGGTTCCTGCTGCACCTGCACTGGCGCCTGGGACAAATGGTCACCTCATTGCCGGTGAGTGGGGACTGGGGGCCAGAGGTAGGCAGATCTCCTATGTCCCGTGTGTCTCTCTGCGCATGGGTATGCAGGGCAGGGGACAGACTCAGAGCAGCCCAAGGCAAGTTCATTCATCTCCCTGAACCTCAATTTCTTTATCTGTGAAATGGGCATGAAAATAAGAGTGTCTACCTGAGATGGAATAAAATAGGTGCCCGTGCTGGCTGGCATAAAGCAAGTGTTCAACCAATGGAAACCATTCTTCCTTTTTTTAAAAAAGTAAAATATAACTGCGCTGGTCAGTGTGGCTCAGTTGGTTGAACATTGTCCCATGCACCGAAAGGTCTCTGGTTCAATTCCCAGTGAGGGGCACATGCCCAGGTTTCAGGTTCGATCTCCATGTTGTGGTGGATCGATGTTTCTCTCTCTCTCTCTCTCTCTCTCTCTCTCTCTCTCCCTCTCCCTTCCTCTCTCTCTACAATCAATAAATACATATTTTTAAAAATAAAATTAAGATATAACTGATATACAACATTGTGGAAGTTTAAAGTGTACAACATATTGATTTGATAAATTTAGATTACAATATGATTGCTAGTGTAGTGTTAGCTAGCATCTGTATGGTGTCACTTCATTATCATTTCTTTTAGTTTGGGAATAATTCAGATCTAGTCTCTTAGCAAGTTTAATGTTTATAAAACAGTTTTGTTGTCTGTAGCCCCTGGAATCGACCTTCTGACTGGCATATTCTGTATTAGCCATTCCTGATTACTATTATTGGGATTGCCACTAATCCACTTTGTCCACATCGCTAAGAATCTCTCTGCATCAGTTTCCAGTTGGCCGTGGATGTGACTGTCTGTCTGGTGGCCATGCCTGTAGGTCTGTGTGTCCTATGTCATGCCCAGGTGGTTAAGACCTTGTGTCCTGTGTCTCCAGGTCATTTCTCTTTGTGTCTGGATCTGGTGGCCACATGTGCATGTCCATGTGGACTGTGCTGCTGTCCTGTGTATACACACACACCCACATGTCCACGCACTTGCCAGTCCACAGCCCATGGGTTGATGTTGTCTTTGTTTCTGGGTCTCTGTGTGTCACAGACCCACCTGGATCCACAAACCGGGCATCCATGTGTCTGCATCCACGTGTGTCTTGTCAGTGACACCTAAGTGTCCAGTGTCACGTGCCCATATCCACATGTTGGCATTTATGTCCCCATGTCTATGTATCTTGAACATTATTTATTGAATAAACACTTGTAGAGTGTTTACTGCATGCCAGGGGCTGTGATACACTTTACACATATGAATTCATTGAATCCTTGGCAGGCACTCTTCATATGTCCATGTACAGAGAGGAAAACTGAGGCACCATGTGGTTATGAGGTTACTGTGGGGTGTGTGCATGTGGCCCTGGGTGTGTACTAGTATCTGGGGGTGATGCTGGACCCATGATCTGCATGTGAGTCTGAGTGATGCCAGGGGAGGGGCCCCACAGGTTCTCACTCTGGGCTCTTCTGCATTTTCAGGAGAGGGATACAGGATCCTGGGAGCAGCTGACGCCAGGTGAGTCAGGGTCCTGGTCTCCAGGGAGGGGCATCGGACGGTTCCCACGCTGCCCCCACCCCCATTGCCCAATGGGATTTGCACAAGGGACAGAAAGTCCCACAGGTGCCCCTCCCCCAATCCTGAGAAGCAGAAGTTTGGGTCACTCCAGGAAGGGTGGGGTTGACACCAAGAAGTGGACTTGATGACCTCTGGGAGGCTGGCCCTTACCTGCCTTCACCTCTGACCTCTGACTCTCTCTCCAGAGCCAAGGTTCCACAAGGCCAACCCAGCAGCACATCTGACAGGTGAGGGGGACTCCGGGTCCTTGCAAGGGGTGAGGGTCGGGGTGTCCTGGGGAGACCAGACAGACAAACACATGTCAGAGTGTTCACTCACTCACTCACTCACTCACTCAATAATTATTCACAGAGTTGCCCAGAGCACAGGCACTGCCTGGGTCCATGTATTTCTAATTTTATTCATTGAATAAACAGAGCTCACTACATGTCATGCGCCATAATACACTTTACACATATTAATTCATTAACTCCTAAGCAGGTACTCGCCATACCTCCATTTTATCAAGACAGAAACTGAGACACACAGAGGTTTTAAGGCTGCTAGGCCAGGGTGAGTTCTGCCTCCATTCCTCAATTCTGCCAGTACAAGGTGTTTTCTTGTGTGCGTGTGTTTTTTGTTGTTATTTTTAAAATATTTTTTTTTACTGATTTCAGAGAGGAAGGGAGAGGGAGAGAGATAGAAACATCAATGATGAGAGAGAATCATTGATCAGCTGCCTCCTGCACACCCCATACTGGGGATCGAGCCCGCAACCCCGGCATGTACCCTGACTGGGAATCAAACCATGACCTACTGATTCATAGGTCGATGCTCAATCACTGAGCTACATTGGCCAGGCCGCTACAGGGTTTTTGTGTGTGGTGTTTTATTTTATTTTATTTTATTTTTTTTTTTTATTTTATTTTTTTTTTGGTAATCCTCACCAGAGGATATTTTTTGCCATTGATTTTTAGAGAGAGTGGAAGGAAGGGAGGAAGAGGGAGAGAGAGGACAGAAGGGAGAGAGAGAGAGAGAGAGAGAGAGAGAGAGAGAGAGATCAATTGGTTGCCTCCCACATGAGCCCAGACTGACTGGGTCAAGGGATCCAACCTTCAATCCAGGTACCTGCCCTTGACTGGGAATCGAACCCATGACCCTTCAGCACTTGGGGTGGATGCTGTAACCACTGAGAAACACTGGCCAGAGCAACCACTACCGTTTTGGTGCTTTTCTCAAGTTACTTAATTGCCCCATGCCTCAGCTTTCCTGCCTATAAGAGGGCAACAGGACAAGTTAAAATGTATAAGAAGCAAGTGACTTCACTTCTCTGTGCCTCAGTTTCCCAACCTGCCAGAGAGGTCGAAGTGAATTCATGCATAGAAAGTTCTCCAACAGCCTAGCACAGAGGCGGAGGCTCAGAAAGGGGCGGTGACCGGCCTAAGTCACACAGCAAGTTTGGGGCATATGCTGAGCAGTCTCCTTCGTCTCCCTCCCCAGGGGCCAACTTCAGCTTGACCAGCAAAGGGGGTCCGCTGCTTTGGGAGTCGAAGCTGGGCCTGGCCTTCTTGAGGAACCTCCGCTACCAAGACGGCGCCCTGGTGATTGTCCAAGCCGGCTACTATTACATCTACTCCAAGGTGCAGCTAGGGGGTGTGGGCTGCCCGCAGGGGCTGGCCAGAGGCCTGCCCATCACCCACGGCCTCTACAAGCGCACGCCTCGCTATCCGGAGGAGCTGGAGCTGTTGGTCAGCAGGAAGTCACCCTGTGAGCAAGGGACCCGCTCCCGCATCTGGTGGGACAGCAGCTTCCTGGGCGGCGTGGTGCACCTGGACGCGGGGGAGGAGGTGGTCGTCCGGGTGCTGGAGGAGCGCCTGATCCGGCTTCGGGATGGTACACGGTCCTACTTCGGGGCCTTCATGGTGTGAAAAACCGAGCAGTGTCCAATTGACAGGGGGTCTGACCAGAGAGGCGCCTCAGGAGACAGAAAATCCAGCAAGCGGAGACCTTGGAGGGCATCCCAGGGACCCCAGAACTCAGCACCTGGGGAGTCAGCAGGCACCACAGGGGCCAAAAACCCAGCCACCCCTAGAGGTTGGAGACATTGCCTGATAACCACATGTGGCACAACACAAGTTATCAACACAACCCCAGACACCCACGCAGGCTGTACAGTCACACACATGATCATCACATCAGATTTCCACATGCCATGTCATAGTCAGACTCATCACACACACACACACACACACACACACACACACACACGCACACACACGCACAGCCTGAAGTTCCTCTCAGCCAAGACGAACACATCCAGGGGTGAGGACCAGACGTTGTCTGTAACCCTGGGCCCCTGACTGCTGGTCTTGGAATAAATGGCAAATGTTGCACCTTGGCCAACCTCGTCTTAAGGCAAGAGTGGCTTGTAGAGACAGAGGAATCGATGAATGACTCACAGACGTCACTTTATGGATAAGAAACCTGAACCCAGCTGGCTCAGCTCCAAGCAGGAAGCTTGGGGGGAAGCAGAGACCGCATGCCTGGGTCTGCCTTGCCCTCAAATCCACGACTCCTGAGGACGTGAGGGCTACCTCCCGACCAGCACCTTACTGCAGGCAGAGGCACAGAGTGGCATGCTCTCGGCATCCTGGAAGCTCGGAGTGACTGGGAGCTCAGGAAGAGTGTGGGGGGAGAAGAAGTGACGATTCGCATACAGTTGGTCTGTGCAAATGAATGTATACTTTGTTGTGATTGGAGGGAAGTCTTATTTCCAAGGACCCTAGGATGAGGGCTGGGATCAGAGGTGAATAAATTATTATTGTTACTGTCATTGTTGCCTGGTTACAGGGGTGAAGGAAACAGGCTTTGCCATCTGATAATCCTGGGGTCCCATTTCATGCCACCACTTCCTGGCTGTGTGTCTTTGAGCAAGTCCTATCACCTCTCAGTGCCTCCGTTTTCTCTTCTGCAAAATGGGCGATCACAGCAGTCCTTGCCTCCTGGGTCTGTTGTAAAGATGAAACCAGATCAGGCTTGGAAGAAGCCATTTGGTGTGGTGCCTGGCGCACAGTCAGAGCTCCATAAGTGGGTGAGTGCCGTACGTGAGTTACAAATACGAAGGGCATTTCTCGGGCACTTTCCCTATGCCCGACATCTCCTGTCACATACCTGGGCACAAGCGATTGCTGTCTCCATGTTCCTGATGGAGAGTCAGAGGCAGGGATGCTGCCCCCACCGCCACCCCCACCCCTATTAAGGACGCAGGGCTTCATGCCTCTCTGCCCTTACTGGGCTGGTGGGAGGTGGGACAGCCCCAAAGGCCGGGCCCCAGCCCCCACTGGAGTTTCCTTTACTCTCATCACGGTCTTTCTGTTTCCGTGGCTTTGGTGAGGAGACCAAGGTGTGGGGCCAATGTATTTATCTCAGCCACCGACTTCCGCTTGGGGATGGAACTCTCACTAAGTTTAACCTCCAAAGATCATTCCTGGGAGGGGCCTCCCAGCCTTGAGGTGAAGGAGAGGAAGAGAAAGAGTGGGTAAGGAGGATGGGTAAGAGTGGGAGGGATATGGAAAAAGAGGGAGGGGAGGGAAGGATGGAGGGGAAGGAGAAGGGAAAGTCTGAGAGAGCCCTGCGGGTGCACAGGCTGCTGCAGCAGGACACCTAGACCGGTTTTAGATCATGTGTGGGGGCAGGAAGTCCCTAGCTCAAGCCACTAACCTACTTTTCAGTAGAAGTTGATCTACATGATTTCCGCTTTTACCCCCTGGGCTCTGGTCTTTACCGATTTCACCCTCTCCTCCACCCGCAATAAACTCTTCCTCAAGACCTCTCAGGCCCTGGGCAGGAAACCCTCCCCCCTTGTCAAGATTTAGAGGTGGTAGAAGTGAAAATAATGATGATAAAATCACTTATTAATTTCCTAGTATGAGGCTGTGCCCCTCCTGCTCTATGTCACTGCAGTCAAACACTGAGATGCCTCCTCTTTGAGAAACAGAATGGTTCTTCGGCCAGAGCCAGACCGCCTGCGTTCAAAGCCCCACTCTGACACTTCTGGGCTGTGTGATCTTGAAATGCATCTATTCTTGGCTTCTCTGGGCCTCGATTTCCTCGTTTGTAAAACAGGATGCACAGTGGCCTCTACGTTACTCTGATTATTGTGAGATGAAATGACTTGAATCTTTAAGCATCTTTCCAGAGCTTGGCCCACAGGGAGCCCTTTAATCCTTGGTAAATTGAGGATTTTGTAAGCATGCTTGTAATCACACACACATTTACATTTTGAATTCTTTTCAGCTGTTATGTCAAAGGTGACCTTTCATCCATAGGCCACATGTAGTCACTGACTGTGTTTTTAAAATGGGAATTGGTAGCCAATATTTAAACATTATGAAACTTGGCAAGTGGACAAATACAGATTCCTGGATTGACTTGGAAAGTTGGAACCTGTGACAACAACCCAGGTTGGGGTGGGTAGTGGCTGTCCCCTTTGGAGCAGGCATGAACTCACCAGCTCACCACAGTCGCCACCACTCCCAGTTGTCTCTCACACGGAGGCTGAATGTCAGTTGCCTTTCCTCAGTAGGGTGTGAGGTTGTTTTTTCTTATTCTTTTAAAAAAATATTTATTGATTTTTTTTGAGAGAGAGAGAGAGAGAAAGAAACATCAATGTGAGAACAAGACATGGACTGGCTGCCTCCTGCATGCCCCTTGCTGGGGATCAAGCCTGCAACCTGGGCACATGCCCTGGCCGGGAATCGAACTGGCAACCTTTCCGTGCAGTGAATGATGCCCAATCAACTGAGCAACACCCGCCAGCCAGGGTGCAGTTGTTTTCTTAAAGTAATAATGATCATTAATTACAGGTCGTGCTTCTAACGTTCTCATTGGGTGCCAGACACTGTGCTAAGTGCATTAATTCACAGTAACTCATTTCATTCTCACAATCACCCTGTTACGATGCCCATTTTATGGATGGTGAAGTCCAGACACAAAGAGATTTAAAAAGATGAGACTTAGAGGTGAGAAAATAGATGGCAACCTGAGATGACCATGAGTTTCAAGAAAATATGAGTGTATAGTTGTATTAGTTTCCTATTGCTGTAACAAGTTCCCACCAACTTAGTAACTAACAGCAATATGAATTTATTACCTTACAGTTCTGGAAGTCAGACGTGAGTATATAGGACTAAAATCGAGATGTTGGCAGGAAAAATTTATCCCCAAATCCTTTTCCTGGGTCTGATTCTGTGGGAACCCAATGGACACATGTATAGGACACATGAATCTCAACACACCAGGAATGCAAATAATGTACCTTTCTTTTTGTTCCTAATACAATTTAATTTATGCAAAGATCCCTTTGCACCAGGGTGCTGGGAAGTGGCTAGCAGTCAACTGGGAACCGCCCTTTCCCACGTGTTCCTTTTCCAAGACTGTCAAAATTCCAGGGAGCTCAGGAAATGCCAAGGCATTCAGGGTGAAGGAAGGGTCAATCTGATTGCTGACCTACACATCCACACATGTGCCCA